TAAATTTTGATTTAAACCATTCTATTTCACAAAATAATCTGTTGTCAAATTATTTTTAAAAAATATTAGAGGTTTCAAGGTTTCAAATGAACACTTTTTTATTTTGTCCAAACTAATACTCATGGAAATAAAAATGCTAGAAAGTTAATTTTCGTGTTCGGTTACATGTGTGAGCCACTGTACATTGGACATCTGATCAGAATACAATTCTCGACGGTTGGAACTTGGAATGGAATTGTAAGATTAGCGTGTTACATAATGTTACCGCCGGCGAACAAAATTCTTCGATTCCAGCTTTTCGGGATGAAACGGCAAAAGACGAGCCGTGGGTGTCGCTAACCTCGGACGAATGTATCAACAATGCTGCATATTTCCTAAACCGATAGATTTTTCAGCGTCGCTACAACAAATTCCCATCACGATCTTCAACAACGCTGCTGTAGATTTTTCAGCAAAATAGCAGCATAACATTGTAAATTCCCCCTGACGTGCAGATAAAAACAACAGGCTTCCCTTTTTGGCTAATACGATCTTCACGCCTGCATCAGCATTTGTCATCAATTTTTAGCATCCTCTTCAGCGTTTGTCATCGCTTCTCGTCATCTTTCAGCATCTCCTCATCATCTTTCAGCATCCCCTCATCATTTTTAGCGTCTTCTCATCATTCTTCAGCATAATTACATCGGTTTTCAATTCGTCTTACATAAGTTTCTTTCATATATATTAAAGTGTTCAATATAAACATTTTTATTAATAACTAAAGTAGTATTAAAACAACAAATGACATGAAACACAAAGAAATGTATAAAAGAACAGCCTACGGGCTACTAATAAAGAATAAAATTCATATTGCGAACAATTATTCTCCAAGTAAGCTACTTGTAAAAAGAGAATTCACATTGCGTACAATTGTTCTCCAAGCAAAATTAAAACTTGAATTATTGCGTACAATTATTCTCTCCCTGAGTAAATTATCGCTTATAAAACTCTTCCCCCCGTTTCCCCCACTTTAATCGTTATATTGATTGTCGGTTAGGTCCTTTGTACCAGAAAAGGCATTGTTTTATGTAGAATCGCGTTGTTAATGAAAAACCGTTTTTGTGTGATCGTAATTATCGTTATTATTTTTAAGAGTTTAAGGCTTTTATCTATAAAAAGCAACAGTTAAGAAATTCCCCCAAAACACTCACCTGAAACTATAGTCTCTCTTCCCCCCAAAAATCAACGTAATAAACGATATCCGTAGATATCGGCACAGACTCTAGATACCGAAATAAACATCACTCAGTCTAATAATCTCTCCCAAAGTCTTTTTGCGTTAGAAATCCCTCAATTCGCTCCCAGCTTAACTAAAAGCGCAACAATAAAACGATTGTTTTTAATATAGAAGTTGAGACAATTATAGTTAATTAGTGGTGGAAGTTAAGCAAAGTTAATACCACAGGCAAAAAGGTGTGGCACAATAGTGAGTTTTTTTATTTCTTAGTGTTTAATTGAAGAGTATATGATTTCCTTCCAAATTCAATGAATTATTAAACATACTAGAAAACCTCTAGGAAATCCGGAATTCCAAAAACCCCCCCCCCCCTTTTTACCTGTGTAGTAAATTGCGAATTTAATTAGTAAAACAAAGAGTTAAGTAGAGAATCAGTTAGCTTCGTAGTGATTTCTATTTCCTTATGAGTGGTCGTATTTATATGCTTCTATCTTAGTTAGAAAAGGTTATTTATAGTAATAGTTAGCTTGATATACAGTAGTCCGTTTTGTTAGATATAAGATTATTTTCGTACTAAATAATAATCCCAGTTGTTCATTTTACATATACGAAGACATTTAATATATAAACATTTTTTACCTTTACTATGCGTAACGATAGTTCAATCCAAACTGCTAAATCAAAAAAATTATCTCTGTTCTTCGTAACTATCTACATGTACATTTATTCCTGTGCTTTCTATAATATTATCCATGTTTTAATTTTTACAGATCACAACACTAGAAGGATTGTACTTCACTCGTTAGCGCTAGTTTCAAACCCCTTGTTAAACGATACCAGACCGGTTTGTCAACCGGTCTGGTCTACAATAACGATAAATGATGTACTGCAGATCTAAAGCATTGTTATCGTTTTACTCTATACAAAATGAACTACAACAACAGGTGAACAAAATTCTATATCGATATTAAATTGTTTTAAACCCATTAAAAATTTGTGTTAAATTACTTTTTAGCGACATCGTTTATTTTTCTGTTGGTATTCCTGTTATCAATGATACTTATCGGTGTATGATCAAAAAAGCAGTAGAATGTAATAGTGGTGGATGGAAAGAACTCTTTGGCTTCTATGCTTACGACAAACCTGTAAGATTGTATTTAGGATCAATTAAATCCTATTTTTTCTAAACGAATTGTTATAACGATATAATGTTTAATAGGATCCTAATACAGTGGCATTTTACGTAGAACAAGCCTTTAATCCGCATCGAATTGTCATTAACAGACAAGCACAAAACTTGGACGGGTTTTCTAAACTCTTAGTCTTTTGGGCTTATGAAAATGAAGCAAGTATTTTCTCTATAAATAACTATAAATCTATAAATAACTATAAATCATTCATTCTCTTGGTAAAGTTATTGATAAATTTTACGTCTAAAAAATAGACTCGTTTCTCTAAACCAATAACTATTGAACGTATCAGAAATCCAGAGCGACATGTACTTCGCATACAGGCTCTAAACAATAGACCTGAGAAAAGTGGGCAATTGGTCAATACTTTTCATGTTGTCGATACTGTTTACTGGGGTACTTTGTAATAATTTCGAATATAAATTTATTAGTTTTATATTTATAAACTACCCTAGCAAAGTATTCGTTACAATTTGTTTGTATGGAATAATATTTTTAATATATTGTGGGATTCCCTTTGTTTTTTAAATTCTCTGATTCTCATTGGGAGGGATGCTTTCAACAAATTTTATATCGATATAGGTATTTGCAACCCATTCTTGCAATACTTTTTAAGATCGCCAAGATTTCTTGGATGCAAAAGTCAGTTTCAACTTCTTCTTTCGAGATTATTTTAATTTTACTTCTAATTAAACGTTTATAAAAGCTCTTTTTAACTTTATAAAAATTTGGTATGTAGTGGCTTTAAAATATGCGTACACTAAAGCATTGAGAAATTATCACAAACATGTAATATTCTTTATGAAAATCTATCCCATCGCTATAATTTTTTTGTTGAGAAAGGAACTCGCGTGATTCGAATTATTTTTATTTCAAGCCGTATATTTTTTGACAAGAGATTACGTATATCGATACTACCGATATACATGTACATGTACGTACATTTTAAAATGAGAACTGTATGTACAGTACGTACATGTATACGTATCGGTATGCTCAAAATTAGACAAATCCGATCTTCTTGTATGTATACTTGTCACATGTATTATGCATGTTTTTGTAGTACATGCAGTACATAACGATAACGATAAGAATCAATTATTACGATCTACGTACGTACGTACATGTTATCTATTGCAGTTTCGAGATGGCATCTTCAAAAAAATGGCTTGATGATGCAATTTCTGAGGGTAAAATTCATCAAATAACATACGATCAAATCACCAAAATAGAAAATATTGGTGAAGGTTCATTCGGAAAAGTTTATTCAGCTGAATGTGACTTATTCTCCGAAAAAATTGTTATCAAAAAGATTAAAAAATGTCATATTAAAGAAAAAGAAAAAGATAAATTCTACGCATTTATAAAGGAGGTGATTATTATGCTAATGTTTTAACAAGTTAAAGTACGGTATTAACTTTTGATATTTAAAGTTAAAAATACATAGTACTTTAGATCATGCGAATATTATTCGCTTATATGGAATTAGCGAAAGTATGTAAAAATAATTCATGACATGATTGAGTAAAGTTACTTTGATAAATATTATTAATTTAATTTTCTGTTTCAAGACAAAAACTCCTATTTTCTGGTAATGCAATTCGCAAACAACGGGACGTTGCGTGAATTTTTGAAAGAGAAACACGATACCTATACTTTAGACTGGGCTAAAAAGATATCACTAGCAAAACAAATGGCTGATGGTATTCAGTATCTTCACTCGCGCGATATAATCCATCGAGATTTGGTAATATTTATTGTATTAAAGTAAATTTTATTCAGTAACAATTCATTAATTCTTGTTTTGGTAAAAAAAAGCATTCCAAAAATATTTTATTACATGATGATCAAATAAAAATCTCTGATTTCGGTCTTTCTAAGGACATTAATAGCCAAACCTCCAGCACGCATGGAATTTTGGGCATGACAGCGTACGTTGAACCTAATATGCTTATAGACATGAAATATAAGAAAGACAAAAGATCAGATATTTACAGTTTAGGAGTTTTATTCTGGGAAATATCGAGCTGCTGTATCCCTTTTAAAGATGTTAATCAGCAAGCCCTTATGAGGCAAATTACAAAAGGACTACGTGAAGAACCACTTCCTGATACTCCTTTTGAATATATGGAATTATATCAGTATTGTTGGAAACTTGAGCCAGAAGATCGGCCTTTGATCCAGGAGGTTTGCAGTAGATTAGATTCAATTTTAATTGATCTTGATTACAGTCCTGCCTTAGCAGATATTACAGACGAATTTGACGATAGACTTGATTCTAAATTACTTGCTGCTGATCTTGGTAAACGATTTTATCTCTCTATTAACTGTAGTTTTTATTTAGCGTTATTTATAACTTTATTTATTTCCTCTGAACAGAATTTCATCCAGATGTGCAACCTGTTTACAAAATAATTGAAAATAGTGGTGATTTTGTTTATGGTTTATGAGTATATATTCTCATCTATATATTTTTAGTTTAAATAGACTGGACCAGCAGTTCACTGAGATCTAATAGATTGATCAGATCAAAGTAAAAATACGACATAAAACTCAAAATTCAAATTTAATTTTATTCCTTAACGTTAATAAGAAATTTTAGGTTAGCTGCAATACGTTTGTGTTATGTAAAGCTAAAGGCTCACGGGAATATACTATAAAAAATGCGTGAAATATCATCTACAAAATTTTAGATATACTGACATCGAAATAATTAAAATACAAAACGATGCGGTAAAGTTTTCTTTTTAGTTAGTTTCTGAATTTTATTAGTTTTCTAATTGCACAACGACAAGAAGATAATGATGAGCAAAAATATGCAAAGAACCTAAAATGAAGATACTATCTTTCTGCAATTCTTTGTTTCAGATATATCTCAAAGAAAAAAGAGTGAGTTTAACTATAAGAGATGTATTGCCTCATTGTGACAATGCTAAGCATTTCAATATATCGTATGGGCAATTTAGATGGTATCGATTACTAAAAGAATACCACAAATTGCTTAATACGCGTAGTTGGCGAAAACATGTATCGGTATAGAAGTAAAAAACAGCTGCTCTGAGGGTTTGATCTTAGGATTGTTGTAACGGTATTGGTATAATTATAACATAAATGAAATAATTGTCAAATATTTGCCACTGTCAAAATCTTTGCATTTACTAAAACCTTTGCTGTTGTTAAAACCTTTTGATGTTATCAAAATCTTTTGACGCTGTGGCATCTTTTAATGTATCGAAAACTTTTGACGCTATCGAAACCTTTGATGTCGTCGAGACTTTTAGATACCGTTGAAATCTTTCAACCCTGTCGAAACCTTTTTGATGCGGTATTGTGTAAAGGAGTATAATCGGAACCATAAAAGATGTTACAAAGGTTAACAAAATTAGCAAAGCGTATGACATATAATAGAAATTTGAGTCGGTTACGCATACTAATTCGTATACTATTCTTTGTATACCGATACCGATACTATCCTATATACATGTATAACGATAAGTTATATGTATTTAGCTTTATCGCTATGTTGACCAGTTTTACTGAACAAAATTTCAAATTTCCTGAATTTTCATTACATCCGATTAGAGTCATGGTAAGGGTAAGGTATTGAGTGAGGAAACAAGATTATATGTAAGATTGTCTCCCAACATTTTAATTAATAGTCCAAGACTGTAATATCGATATCATTTTTTTCATAGTTTCGAATCGGATTTGTTTTGCATTCTTATTGGTTATTGACAACTATAATCATTCTTTATTTGTTGAGTTTGATACATGAGAGTACGTATAACGATAATAATCAAAGATTGTAATACAACGTTTAATCCGTGTGTATGATAGAATAGGCGTTTTCTGAGCATATTCACGGATTAAATTTTGTATTTACTTCTTAGTAAAGATGCTTATACATTTTATAAAATATAAACGTTTGATGACTTAGATTTTATGCACCATACCGACTACGTATACTCCTTTACATAGTACTCTTTTTGACGCCGTGAAGCTTTTCGCAATTTTGACAAAAAAATAAATTTAAAAGTAGTTTCATTTTCAATGCCCGTCAAACCCTTAGGTTTCGACGGCAACCTTAAGTAGATAATCGAGACACTTCATATAACAAACAAAATGTTAAGGTAACGGTGATAATTTGTTCTATGTTCTTTCACAATAACCAAAACGAAAAACCAAAATTATAAAATTTAAGATTAATAATCGATGTAATCATGAAACAAATTAATTATTATTTTTATAAGCTAATTTGTATTCAATAATATCGTAATACATGTACAGTAACATTTTACATAGAACACACTTATAGTCCGTATCGAATTGTCATTAACAGACAAGCACTAAAAAAACAGTCTTTTGGAATTTTGAAAAGGAAGCAATAATTGAGATTTGTCGTTACTGTTTATTGGGAGCAGATTAATAAATCATGCAATTAATAAAAATTTGCTATATAGAAAAAATAAATGCGCACGCGCAAGATTGAATCATTTCTATGTGGCTATATTACATATCGATATTAATATAAATGGATCCATCACTATCGCTATGTTCAAAATTGATGCATAATGAAAGTTTCTATCAAAAATGCAAATTGATAATTTTAAAAGCAAAGTTAGATTTTAGTTTTCATCGGTACTTCACATATTTAAGTCTCCCGTTAGTAACATCAGGAAGTTTATGAAGCGTTAAATTATTAATTGACACAATGAACAACACTAACCGATTTTCTTAGTACATGTACATGTAGTGGTATGCGTGCTTACCACATGCATTATGCATTATTTTTGATGATTTTATACAAGTATGGCATTATTTAAGAATCAATACCGTATAAAATTCCGAAGAAAGTTCTATACTATCGCTATCTGTTATCGGCTGTAGTTTTGGGATGACGTCTTCAAAAAAATGGCTTGATAATGCAATTTCTGATGGTGAAATTCATAAAATATCATATGAAACAATTTCTAAGGGAGAACATATTGGTGAAGGATCATTCGGAAAAGTTTATTTAGCTAAATGCACTTCAATTTCCGAGAAAATTGTACTCAAAAAGATCAAAAAATGTCATATCAAAGGAAAAGATAGCTTCGACGCATTTATAAAGGAGGTAATTATTATATTAGTACGGATTTTTTAACAAGTTAAAATACAGTACGTATTAACTTATTGATATTTAAAGTTAAAAATACATAGTGCTTTAGATCTTCATGCGAACATTATTCGCTTTTATGGAATTAGCGAGCGTATGTAAAAATAATTCATGATTGAGTAAAGTTACTTTGATGAATATTATTAATTTAATTTTCTGTTTCAAGACAAAAACTGCTATTTGCTGGTAATGCAATTCGCAAATAACGGGATGTTGCGTGAATTTTTGAAAGAGAAATGTGATACTTTAGATTGGACTACAAAGGTGTCACTAGCCAAGCAAACGGCTGATGGTATTCATTATCTTCACTCGCACGATATAATTCATCGAGATTTGGTAATGTTTATTATGTTTTAGTAAATTTTATTTGGTGATAATTCATTAATTTTCTCATTTTTATATAAAGCATTCCAAAAATATTTTATTACACGATGGTCAAATAAAAATCTCGGATTTCGGTCTTTCTAAGGACATTAATAGTTTACCCTCCAGTGCTTCGGATATTTTGGGCATGACACCGTATATTGAACCTAAAACGTTTATAGATATAAAATACAAGAAAGATAAAAAATCAGATATTTACAGTTTAGGCGTTTTATTCTGGGAAATATCGAGCTGCCGTGTCCCTTTCGAAGGTCACAATAATCAAATGGCCCTTATGGGTCAAATCATAGCTGGAGTACGTGAAAATTCACTTCCTGATACTCCTGCTAAATACATGGAATTATATCAGCATTGTTGGAAACTTGAACCGAAAGATCGGCCTTTAATCCAGGATGTTTGCATTAGATTAGATTCAATTACAATTTGACGATAAACTTGAGTTTAAACTTCTCTATTTATTAATTTCATTTACAGTATTTATCCTCACTGGACAGAATTTTACAAATACAACTAAACCCTCTCTAATCATACCTCTTATAAGTCACACCCCTCGTCGTTTTCTGATTCCATACATAGATAAATATAGTGAAAAACCCTCATTAATCACTATATCTTCAACAAAGGGCAGCATTCTTCATTAAATCGAGTCTAAGTGTTTCCTCATGAATTTGTAAAGCACTCGATATATCTTCGTTCTCTTTGATTTCATATGGTATACTAAAATTAAAATCTGTATTGCAATAGCAATGGATTAAAAAAAAATTAATAAAAAATAACAATATAAATAGTAACGTTACCTTCATTTGGAACATACAAACTGACAGTTGTAAAGCCTAATTTTCATTAACATAATTTTCATTAATATAAAATATTAATATGCGTAATTATATCGAGAAATAAAAATGCACCTGTATCATTTGGAATTGAAATTAATTTTGTAGTAAAGATTCGACTAGTGTAAATTGCGTTTGGGTGGGTTTTTTGTTCTTCATTCGTATTTATAAGAATGATTTTTTGTTGATTATTCATATCTAATTCTATATCAAGTTCTTTTAATTTCTGTTTTTCTAGTTTAAGACATTCAATAATTTCTTCAGGTGGTTTAAGATATTCCAAAGAACTATAGTACTGAAAATGCAAAGTATTCAATTTCCACTCCTCTTCGGAATCATACGGGCAGATAAAGTAGAGAGAATTGATGAATTCTTCAAGTACCGAAGCAGTTGGTCGGTTTTCTGGAATAGAATCCCAACATTTTTCAATAATAAATTTGTGCCATTGAGGAACATTATTCGGTATCTTAGGTCGTACTCCTTTAATGATATCTAATACGAGATCTGTATCATGACTTCGCTCACCGAACGGTCGTTCGCGTGTTACAATTTCGTAGATAATCATCCCAAAGCTATAAATATCTGCAGCTTTAGTGTATGGCTTTCTATTTAGCACCTCTGGACTCATATAAGGAAGGACTCCGTATATTTCTTGATTAGACTTTTCTATATCTTCTGGGCCAGTAAGTCCAAAATCAGCGATCTGAGAAATATCACCAGGCCATGTTAATATATTTCCAGGGTGAAAGTCACGATGCACAAATCCCTTTTCGTGAATTAAACTCAGATTTGCGACAATATAAGTTAAGTGTCTTAATTTTTCTTGCCAATTTAATTTTTTGCATTTTGAATTAATATATTTGCGAAGATCGCCACCTTTAGCGTAATCCATTACTATCGAGTATTCATTTGTAGATGGGTTTTTAGTTATTCCATAATAATTGAAATAATAACCTATGCTGCACTTTAGAGCATTCAGAATCTATTTTTGAAAAATTATATATATTAGAAAACAAAAAGCATCATACGTACTTACACTTTAGAAATTGTTCATTTTTACCTCATTTCTAAACTCGAATGTAATTTGTTGTGAATTGTACAATGATTTCAACACAACTTCATGTTTTTTAACTTGTATAAATTTACTTTCGTCATGATCCCACTTTGTTGATCCGTCCAACCAGTTTGCTTTATAAATTGTTCCTAGACCTCCTTTTGCAAGATATTCAACATTCGTAAATCTTTCAAATGGAATCCACTCGAAAAAACGGTTAACAAATATTTTGATTGTCTTGCATTCTTTTATTAGATTGTCGATATCTTTATTTTCACTAGACCATTCAGCTTTACATTCAGTTTTATAAAGTTGATAGCGATATTCATTACATCCAGTACAGTACTCGTTTTTTTGACAATAGAAACATTTACTACAATCATGAATATTGTGATTTGAACATTCATCGCAGTAGTTTTTTTTTTGACAATCGAAACATTTACTACAATCATGAGTATTTAAAATTTTCGATTCCATCTTTCTGGATACACATTATGTGTGCAGTGTACATGTATTATCATTATACATGTATATAAACAATTTTATTCTAATTCTGTGTTAACTAACACAGAAGTTGATGTAACGCGCCGCTACATCGAACTAGATTTTGGAACTGGTTTTATTTTTAATATGCATGTATCTAACAGGTTTTATATATAAAAATAAAATCAGTTCCAAACAAACTTTTAAAAAAATTCGGTTCATCTAGTAAATTCTATTATCGAGGTATTTACTATATCTGTTCCTGGAACAAACTGCGGTTTATTGAGGTTTTAATTAACGCTTCGATTTAACGGGGCAGGGTTCAGTTTAACTCGTAAAAATAAATCACGAAAAATTAATCTTGTGACATTAGGTTATTTAATGTAATCGATAGTTAGTAGAGTTCAAAAATTCACATCATCAGGTAAGATTTCACGATACTTTCTTCCCATAAATGCTTCTAAAAAAATCGCATAAACGTATGGGTTGTTCCTTTTGTGATTTATTATTTATTTAGTCAGAATCCAAGTAGATAGAATCAGCATGACAATCATCTGATTGTATAATTATTTCTTGTTTAAAAAATCTTTTTCTTTTGAAAATTAATAAAAAGATTGTTATGCAGATTTTATCCAAATTGTGAAAAAGAAATTTAGAACAAATTTTAAATGAAAATGATAGATTGAAATATGAAAAGTATTTAATTTATTAGTTAGCTTTCAATTTGTAGTTTATTAGCTTAGCTAAAAATTCTAAATTAATATATAATATATATAACAAATATAAAACTGCTTTAAGTAAATTAAGTGACAAAAATTTAAGTAGTGGTTGAATTATTTGTATTTTAGATAATTATATTTTAATATTATATTTAATACTTTGAATTTTGTATAAGAATTATATTAAAGTATATATTTATTAATTGTATTTGAAAATTTATTAAAAAATTTATCGTAAACTCAAAATATTATATGCAAAAAGATTTAATTAAATTTTATATTTTTGTTAATGGAATCCATTTATTTTCAAATATGAATTGAAAATATTTAAAAATATTAAATTACAGAAATTTAATATATCTAATCAATTTAATATATAAAATTAAATTATCAAAGTAATATATATTAGAATTTTAAGTTCAGAGTACTTATCTTTCTTTAATTTCTTAAAATAAATCATAATTGTAATTACGTAAATTAAATTAAATAAAATATTTATATTAAATATTATTCATAACACATTTTTCTTTAAAATTGATTTAAATTTTTAAAAGATATAAAATAAATCATAATTATAATTATATAAACAAAATTTTCTATATCTAATTATCAATAACACATTTTTTTCTATAAATAAATAAATATTAATTGTAATTATACATATATTTATTTAAAATAAATATAAATTTTTATTTTATATTAAAATCATATATTTTATATTCTTTGTAAATATATTTATTTATATTATATTTAAATTAGTATAAATTTAATATTTAACATAATTTTTTATTTCTATTTAAATTAAAATATATTATTCAATAAATAAGATATAGAAGTTTATATCATATAATAAGCTATATATAGTTGTATTTATATTTGAAATTTACAATTATTTTTTGTTTATCAATCTATTTATCTATAACATTTATTAAATCGTTGCAAATTAAAAAATTCTCTTGTTGGGCTAAAATGTATAATGTTTTGAATTATCTATATTATTAGTTGTAATATTCAAATATTGAGTTGAATCAAAATTCGAAATATTTATATTATTAGTTGCAATTTAATTTTCAAAATTAAAAACTTTATTTATTTTATAAATATGTAAAATCGAATATTGCAAATTTTCAAGCAATTTGAAATTAAATTAGCAAAATTGATCTTCGATGTGATTTCTAGTTTTTAATTTTTTGCTTTGCTATATCAAAGGCTTCGACAAAAATTTATTTAATCCCAAACTAAATCTATAATCTGTTCTTGTTAACCAAATTCAATATCAAGATTCTTTACAAAGCATAGTATATTGTAAAATTCCAATTCCATTATTAGTTTGTAAATTAGTCAAAAATTTGTATTATTCACATGTTAATATTTTTGCTTTTATTATTGAAACTTCAAAATTATTTGTTAAAAAGTATATTGTAATAAGAAAGAGTATTAATATTATGCGAAGACATGTATGAGATTTTAGACAAATTGTATCTATTGAATTTATTACTACATGTAAATATTGTTCTTTTTAACTAAATTAATATTCTTTGAAATTTTCTAAATTAATAATTTAATTGAAAAATTGATTAGTCTAATTTATATTTTCAATTCTTATTGTATTAGTACTATATCATGGGTAAAACTATTATCTAAATCTAGCTCACTTACTAATGAATCTTTATATGAATATTGTTCTAATTTGATTTTGCATATTTTATTTTGAAATTTTTTATTGATATTTGCTGTTAACCTCAAATAAATATGTAACATTATTTATTTTTGATTAGTTCGAACTATACAATAGAAATCTACCGCTACTAAATTAAATAAATACAAGTGTCACGTATCTGCGTATAAACTAAAACTTTGTACAAGTATTACAATAATTACGTTAGATTAAAAGAATATGACTAAGTAATTAACCCTACAAATGAATATTAAGTCCTTTATTTTTTGTCTATATAAAAATTATAAGTGTTCGCGAGAATAAAGTATATGCACCAATAGTTATCGTATTATTCATCCGAATACTATGTGCAGGTCCAAGTACTGTCTCTTGCCGATGGGGAGACGGTTTCCTTATACCAATCATTGCCATTTCCTAGACATTCACCAACAGTTTGCAAGCTGTAGCCAGATTGCGTAACATAATCAATAGCAAATGGCGCGACAGTATAAACAGTGTCTGGTTTTGTGTCATGATTTAAAGCGGTATGTGGATTTGGCGATGGTGAATTCGCAATAGCATCGCGATACACTTGTTCCGATTGGTCAGCTGACAAACCGCCAGTATCGCCGCTATCAATATCCCAAGTGATGATATATTGGTATCCGAGATTTCCGAGAATACCGAGAACGCGATCATCATAAGCACCGTATGGCGGACGGAAGTATTTTGGTACACGACCTACAATCTTGCGGAGTGCCGTTTCGAGTAAAGTTATTTGAGATATGATGACGTCGTCTGAGAGTTCTGGTAGAGATGGATGAGACCAGGTGTGATGAGCAAGTTGATGCCCTTCGTTGACAATACGTTGAATTACGTCGGCGTGATCGTAAATACAACCGTTGCTATTTCCGTTAACAAAGAATGTTGCTTTTTGATTCTTGTTTGCGAGAGTATCGAGAAGATCGTTTGTAATCTACAGAATATATTTATCGATAATTTACAATGATTTATAGTGTTATAAAAATCACTGAAATAAGAAAATTGATTTATACATACGCTAACTGGCCCATCGTCAAATGTCAAAGAAAAGCTATTAGATGCTGTACACTTATTGTAAACAGTGGCTGTAACGGGGTTACCGGGATTACCGGGGATATTACCACCGGAAGTGCATGTTCCGAAACCACTTTGACATCCAGTACCGCAATAATCTAAATTATTCATGAGATAAAATAATAGATTTAGATAAGAAATCAGAAATTTACGCAAACAATTCAAATACCTGAAGTAGTTCCACAATAATTATATTGAGAACAGCATTGACCAGAAGGACATTGAGTTCCTTGTGCAGAACCACATTGGCCGTTGGAGCTTACAGGGAGTGAAGAGCCACCACCAGATGGTGAATCACATTGACCGTAACTAGATTGACAACCAGTTCCACAATAATCGCTAGTGGTACCACAATAACTACGTAATTTAAAAAAATCGTTAATCTGACAATTAAATAACGATAACTATAATGGTCCAATGTGACTAATCCAATTAAAATTCACTTACCCATATTGTGAACAGCAACTATTACTGCATTCTAGAATAATGAAAGAAAAAATAAAATTTTATTATACAAAAAACTAAATTCAAGCAATTAAAAAGTTAATAAAAGGAAGGAAGTTCTTACCTCCATTTGGATTCTGACTTCCACATTGTTGGGCGTTAACAAAGGTTGAAAGCAAAGCAACAGAGGCTAAAATAGCCAAACTTTTAAATTTGCCGATCATATCTGACAATTATTAGGGAAATTAAAAGTATCAAGTTTATATGAAAAATTTAGGATAGACCTCAAGCATTAATAAAGCGAAAACGAAAGTTCAAGAAAAACGATTAAAGTTACTGAGAGTTTATTCTCAAAGAAAACTTCTTATTTATATTAATTAAATGTCTTTCAACTAATTTAAGTTTACAAAAAGTAAACCAATTTTATTTTTTTGTATTCCTCATTTAACAGGCTACTACATAAGGGGAGTGACTATATTACGTAATATTGAATTAATATAGAGCTACCCCTCCCCCCTGGTGAGATTTTTATATTTAGTTGGCTAATTATTCTGATCACGTGGAAGATGGGATTTTTGAAACCCTTCCCCCTGGTGAGATTTTTATATTTAGTTGGCTAATTATTCTGATCACGTGGAAAGTGAGATTTTTGAGACCCCTCCCCCTGGTGAGATTTTTATATTTAGTAGGCTAATTATTCTGATCACGTGGAAGGTGGGATTTTTGAGACCCCTCCCTCCTCTAATAATTACGTAATATGTCACTCCCCACTTGTATGAGCTGCAAGCTCAGTTTTCTAGATATAATAACGATAACACAAGGTCCTCTTCCTTTCCATTTTCTTTATTTCACACATTGCTTTAATTAATTTCTAAAAAAAGATGTTACTAATTTTTCATTCAAATTTATCAGTCTATTTTTAGCAAGAATCGACTTTTGTAACAGAAAAATAACACAAAAAAATTGTACAAACGCAAAACTACTTACAAAGCCACTTTTAATATAGAATTCCCCCCAATACAATCGTGCAACATAGCGAATTTTACATTCTATCGCATTACGTAAATGCTGTTGTTGTTCTTTATAATATTACCGTATAGGGCGGCTAAAAGCCCTGGGTAGTCTATAATATTACTATATAGGACGGTTACTAGCCCCGGGTAGTTACGGACAATGTTAATTACTTTAAATAGGGTCTTCAACATATTCTTGTGTTTTAATTACACAATGCTTATCTTGCAAATTTTGAAACCGGAACTTTGTGTTACCATTAAATGGGCCAACATCCTGAACTTTATCGGACATACGTATGTAGTTTGGATCACCCGGCGAGTTGTACAATGATGATCTCAATAAAGGTTCGATCAAAAAATGTATAGATATCTCCATTGTTTTTACTAAGCGAACAAGGTTAAGTATTAAGAATAAGATGTGTTAAAAATGGATGAAACAACATGCAAATACGGGACATAATCTCCTGCACAAATTTTTCCGTGGATTTTCTAATATCGATATGGTTAAAGACCAAAAAAACTCGAACATGTGACTTAACGTGGCTTATTTATCACGTGGCTAATTTCCACATCGGAATCGATTCGTCGATTTTCGAATGATGCATTAATGATATATTGTATAACGCAACGACATTGTTAATTATCAACAAACGGAAGTTTGTAATTTGCTTTTCATGGTGCTGAAATCTATTAACTACTCGTTAATACAATAAACTCTCCTTCCCCTCCCACCAATACACTCGCTAACAAAATAGACCCTTTTCACTAACTATCGACTAATAAACGGGTTCAGCAGTGGCTAGTTAGGTTTTGGGGTTGATGGGATACCCGTTACTTGCGTGAGACAGCGTCCATCAACCCTTATTATAAAACTAAAGCTGGATAAAGAATAAGGTTTTCTCAATCCCCAAACATGTATTACTCCTGCTAGACTTACTTCTCGTTAAAACTATTAATTTCTTAATTTATTTATTTCTTCATTCGTTAGTAATGATAATCACGTTATATCACAAAAGTTCTGATATTCACATCAGTATTAATAAGTCATGTTTTTTCACGTCAATGTTAATTTGCAATCTCTTTTTTGCGTTAACTTTTTTTTTATAAAAATGGAATCCTCTTTGACTTCTCCTTATTGTAATAGTTACAGAAACTTCAAATATTTATGAGATATAATGCTAAAGATGTTTCAAAACAATATTAAATTTGTAACAATTGTCATCAAAAAGTTACTGAGAAATGGAAGAGAGCTCTAGAAATAGACAAAAATCAACTTGACAACCAACTAGAAATTATTGATATAGATTTTTTGAGTAATATAATTAGAGGACTTTTGGAGAATATATCATTTAATAGTCTGGAATTTCATTTCCATTGTGAAATAAATGACAATAATTTAACTAAGAAGGTTGTGAATGAAATTATTGAATTGATCAAAGATGCAGATAATTATAATTGGATATATTATTATCAATATGTAAGTAAGAAGTTAACTATATATTGGTACTTCTGTTCTCAAGAGATATTTTAGTAAAGAAATCACATAAATATCCTGATACAGTGCAGCAATGAGATATTATATCTATAGAGAGATTTGATTGTAGAAATTTATAAAGATCTCAATTAATGAAATTATACAAATGATCAAAGTAATCCTTTATTATAGAATTTTACATAAAAACCAATGGATATATCTATAATGCAAAATATTAAAAATTTTATAAAAAATAATATAGATCTTCTCCCAAAAGAAATCTATACACATCTTATTAGTGAGAGTATAAATTTATTAGTTAGGCAAAAGCAAATCCATTTTTGGTAATTGCAGTTAGAGCAAGATTAATATAAATGATACAATAATAATTTGTATATATTTAATTACTAGAGAATCAATATAATATTATATTACAACAAGTAGAACTTGTTCATGTATTGGTATTTAATACTGGTTCTTTGAGCAATTAAATAGATTAAAAATTATTATAAATAAAAGTGTAATCAATGCAACATGTAAGTATAGTTTTTATTAATTGTTAATGAAACTTTAGTTTTCATATCAATTATTTGTTCATATCTGACTTATGTATTTTTTTATTAATAATTTATAAACTATTATCTTAAGATAATATCAACAGTATGGAATTTGAGTTATATATTTTATATACAGAAATAAATAGTATCAGATTCTATTTATTATAAGAATAATAATTAATACAAAGAAGGAGTATAAACAAGAATAATAAAATATTTCTTATTATATTTTAAGATCAAAGATTACAACACAAATTTTTCTTAATAGACAAAAACTTTGCACAAATTAATACAACAAGTTTGCATGATCATATTATAAGATTTAGCTATATAAATAATATATTAAAAGAATTATAACTACAAGATTATTAAGCAATAAAATCACTAAATCTTTGAATTTCAATCTTCTTTTGGAACTTGAAAAAAATTTTTCTTCAATGAAGTTTAACAGTCAGCATAATTTTGTTTAAAGAACTTCAAAAAATTTATGAAATATTATAAATAAATATTTGTATCAGTATTTATTAATTCCAATAAGTAAAAGATAATTCCTAATAAAAAATATTATTTATAAAGCATTTATTTATAAAATGTACATATTTTACAAGAATAATTACTTAATTTTACTTTGATTATATTTTTAAATAGAATAATATAGTGATATAAAGTGAAAGTTATAAATATGATTTTCATATGAAGACAAAATTTTTATATTAAAAACTATCATATTTATTAAAGATTATTGAAAAATAATCAAAAAAAAACTTTTTATATACGTTCTTCCAGCTAAGAATAAAGCTTGTTATATATATTTTGACAAAAATTAAGATTTTTATCTAGAAAAAGTATTATTTAAAATTAATATAATATAATTCTCTTAATTTTAAAATACACCTATTACTATTACTTACTTAAATTATTTGAATGATATTTGTAGATATCAGTATAGAATTAAATTTTATTAAGTATAACTAATCTAACTATTCTCTTTTAACTCTTGTTACAAGTAAAAATTCTCTAATCTATTCATATTATTATAACTATAATAATATATAAAAAATATTATATTTATATAATATATAAGATATTATAGTAAGTATAAGTAATGTGATAAAGTAATGATAACTTGATAATTAATAATTATAATTACATAAAATTATTATCATTTGATTTATCTAAATATAATAAATTAAATAATGATATATTAATATTTACTATAATATTCATATTTATTTTAGATTGAATTTTGTCTTGATTTTATAATTATATAGATAATAGATCATAATATAATTGTTTTGATTTTATTAAAAGCTACTATTTTATAACTATTAAAGAACTAGTATTCAAAGAACAATAATAACATAAAGAAATATTACAAAAGATAATTACATTTGAAATGAATTTAATGCAATACTATATTGTATATAAAAATAATAATTAAAAACAATAAACAAGAAGTTGCAAGTTTATAATTTCTTTAAAACTAGTTTTAAAGAATTCAAGACAATTATTTTTGAAAAAATAAATGCTGTATTAACTGGTTTAGAAAATATAAACAAAAAATTATGTTAAAAAAAGATATTTTAAAAATTTTAAAAATTAAGCTCAATTATATAAAATATTTCACAAGTCAAAGTTAACAAATGATATTATATCTAAGAAGTAATAACAAAATAATATTCTAATCTTGTACAAATATATTCATTAATATATTATTTTGCAATTGGAAAATTAAGACAAATAAAAAAATGAAACTTTAAAAGTTATTAAACATGTTTTAGCTAAATATTATATAATATTATATATATATTATATAAGAGTTATAATTCTAGAATTATAGTTAATTATATTATATTATATATAAATAAATAGATAACTTATAAAAAAATATTTAGTAAGTATTTACTAATTATTTTAAATTAATTTATATTTATAATATCAATAATAAATTATGATTCAACTTCTTTTTTGCATCTCTCTCCTGTCGATCTCTTGACTGGGCAGAGCTACAATTCTCTAAGGGCAAGAAACCTCCAAACTCAAAGTTCTAAAAAGAAGTTACACTCATTTTTCTATAGTAACGAATTCTTTGCAAGCCAAGCTTTTATTTGAAACATCAAAACACATACTTTTCTTTTCTCTTTATTCGATTTTCTTTATACATAAATATAAAAAATAAA